GACCCTTCCTCAGAACCTTCTGAGAAAGGATCACCGGACCCGAAACGTTAACTCTGTTTTTATCTTCACAGATGCTGCCAGACCTGTTGAGCTTTTCCAGCAACTTCGTTTTTGTTCCTGATTTACAGCATCCACAGTTCTTTCGGTTTTTATTTGGCATATCTATTGTTTGGTATTTAATTTGTCGCATTGAGTATCTTGTATCTCCCAATATTAAAATTTTGTATTGAATACTACTATTCAGTATCATAAAGCACATGAATGCTCATCTCGTTGATTTCGTAATCAATGTTGAGATCAATAGATTTTTGGACTATCAAGAAAGAAGAAGACTTAGACTTAGAATCCCTACAGTGTGGAAACAGGCCCTTCAGCCCAACAAGTCCGCACCAACTCTCAAAGCATCCCACTCAGACCCATCCCCCTATAGACCACCTGATCTACACATCCCTGAACACTATGGGCAATTTAGCATGGCCAATCCACCTAGCCTGCACATCTTTGGACTGTGGGAGGAAACCCATGCAGACACTGGGATCATGAATCATTGTATCCCTATCTACGTACTATCATGAATCGTTTCTGCTTCAATTACTGTTTCAGGCAATGAGTTCCAGATTCTCAACTCCCTCTTGGTGATATGCCCCTGAGTGATTGCACCCTTTAGTAAGGGAAAAGTTAATTCCTATAGATTAAATCCTATCCCTATTTATGTACTTTATAGTTTTGTACATCTCAGTGGAGTCCTGTTTCTTTTCTTCTTGCTCTCGCTCTCACAGGTGCAGTCTTTGTATCTTTCTATCTGTCTCTCACGCTCTCGCTCTCTTGCTGTTCTCTTCTCACCCCCCCACCCCCCAGTCTCTGTCTCTCGGCTCCCAGCCGAACCCCTACTCAGTTTTTCTACTCAAAAGAAACTCCACGCCATGAAGTCTCAAGCTGAAACATTCCAGCCCTGGCAACATTGTGGTGAACCTCCTCCGCACCCTCCCAATCTTTGTATATTATGCCTCGTAAAATAGAGGTAAACCTCATATGTGGTTAACCACCCTATCAGTCTATCTCATTTCTGTACATGCACAAGGTCCAGCTGAACCTCCAATCTGCCCAAGATGTATTGATAAATAAAATTTATAATATAATATGAATATATTACGTAAATCAAGAAAATTTCTCTGACTTGCATATTATATGTTTATTCTGTATAAAGTTTATTTCTGGTGTCTGCAAACATATTAAGTACGGCACAATGTTTAGTAATCTGGTAATAGACAGCTATTCACTTTTTTGAGGTTATTTATTTCAACTAAAGCATTTTCAATTACAGAAGAAAATTCTTCACAAAAATTTCCAAGAAAACGTAAGCGAAGAAGAAAACTCAATAGTTCATTACTTGACCACATCAAGAAAAATGTACCCTCTGTGTTTCAACAACAAGAAGAATCAAAAATTGACATCTTGCACACTCTGCATTTAGACTCTGCAAAGCCTGGAGCGGAAACATTAACCAAAAACAGGAAAAGAAAATTGAAAAAGAAACGACATAAAGAAAGGTTAAAGGCTGCTGGGCTGGCACCCAGAGCCACAGCTGTAGAATTCATGTATGAACCACGAGAGGGCAGTAGTGAAGAAGGTCCTGCGAAGAGTGAAGAGGTAGACATTATGGACTTCTTAAATGCAATGTAGGAATTGTGTTTTGCTGATGGTGCTTTACTGTCATTCCTTAACAGAATAATCTGGAATAGCGTCTTTCCTGGCATTTATTGCCCCTGTCCCCCAAAACCTCCCTTTTTATCTGGCTTCTCCTTTAAGTTTGGTGAGATGGATCTATTGTAATCAGAGTTCAGTCAGCAACTTAAAAGAAAGATGTGGTCCAATTGGATGCTTTTCATATCAGAGAGTTTCTTTTGTATTCAAATTTATGCTTTTCTTTAAGTTGAAGACAAAATGATTTTATATTGTAAGCACTGTATTGCCCGGTTGCTTGAGAAAATGTCTGTTTTCTTTAACACATGAAGGTCTGTTTTCCAGCTATCAAATTAACTCTCTTCCCTTTCTGACCTTGTTTGTAACTTATTGGCTGCTAAGATTATTACAAAGTGTTTCTCTTTGATATGTGATGTAGAGAATATGTTATGTGGCCTGAGTCTGTTCCTCCACCTAGCATGAATACTATCAAATCTAGAAATAACCACCAAAGCTAAAATTATTGGAGAAAACATGGTGCTTCTGTGTTTTTTCTCGAAATTCAGTGGCTCATTGTAGGAACGCAAAAGAATGATCTGGCTCTTTTTTCCTCAGTGCTTTATCAGTATCATTCCAGAATGAGTGGCTGGGACTTTCATAGTTCTCATTTTCATTGATTATACGGATAACAAACAAGTGACCTACTTGAGATTAGAATTTAACATTTGGCCATTGTGAATCAGAACCCATGCCCATTGTCTTGTGTTTCTAGAAATGCTAAAATTATTGCTTTGATGTTAAGCATTATTTTGATTATGTACAATGGATGATGGTGCCTTTTTATAAAACAGTACTAATTATTTACTTTTCTATTTCCAAAAGCTCTCAAAATTCTATAGCAATCTAAAACTGGTACTGTACTTTTGATCTTGGAAGTTATGAAGTTCTGCAGAATTTTGTGCAGGGAGTTATGCCATTTTCTGATATTCTACATCTCTGTTGTTTTACGCAATATTAACAGATTTGTAATTAGAACATAGAACAGTACGGCACAGTACAGGGCCTTCGGCCCACAATGTTGTGCCGAACTTTTAAAGGTCTATCTAACCTCCACCCCCACCTTATACTATCATCCATATACCTATCTAATAGCTGCTTAAATGCCCCTAATGAGGCTGACTCCACTACCTGCTCCGGCAATGCATTCCACGCCCCGATCACACTCTGAATAAAGAACATACCTCTGACGTCTCCCCTATATCTATCTCCACTCACTTTAAAACTATGCCCCCTCGTAATAGCTACCTCCATCCTAGGAAAAAGTCTCTGGCAGTCTACTCCATCTATACCCCTGATCATTTTGTACACCTCTATCAAGTCACCTTTCATCCTTCGTCATTCTAAAGAGAAAAGCCCTAGCTCTCTCAACCTTTCCTCCTAAGACCTTCCCTCCATTCCAGGCAACATCCTGGTAAATCTCCTCTGCATCTTTTCCAACGCTTCCACATCTTTCCTGTAATGAGGCGACCAGAACTGGACGCAATGCTCCAGGTGTAGCCGAACCAGGCTTTTGTATAGCTGGAGCATAACTTCACGGCTCTTGAACTCAATCCCGCTATTAATGAAAGCTAACACACCATACGCCTTCTTAACAACTCTATCCACCTGGGTGGCAGCTTTCAGGGCACTGTGAACATGAACCCCAAGATCCCTCTGCTCCTCCACACTGCCAAGAATCTTTCCGTTAACCCTGTATTCTGCTTTCAAGTTTTTCCTTCCAAAATGAATCACCTCACACTTTTCAGGGTTAAACTCTATCTGCCACTTCTCAGCCCAGCTCTGCATCCTATCAATGTCCCTTCGTAACCTAGAACAGCCCTCCGCACTGTCCACAACGCGACCCACTTTCGTATCGTCTGCGAACTTACTAATCCACCCTTCCACTCCTTCATCCAAATCATTTACAAAAATCACAAATAGAAGAGGACCCAGAACAGATCCTTGTGGTACACCACTCCTAACTGAGCACCATGTTGAATATTTTCCGTCCACTACCATCCTTTGTCTTCTAAGGGTCAGCCAATTCTGAATCCAATCTGCCACATTTCCCCCTATCCCATGCCTCCTTACCTTCTGCATGAGCCTACCATGGGGAACCTTATCAAACGCCTTACTTAAATCCATGTATACCACATCCACTGCTCTACCTTCATGCAGGTGTTTGGTCACCTCTTCAAAGAATTCAAAAAGGTTTGTGAGGCATGATCTACCCCTCACAAATCCATGCTGACTATCACGAGTCAAACTGCACCTTTCCAAGTAATCATAAATCCTATTTCTCAGAGCCCTTTCCAATAATTTACCCACCACTGACGTAAGTCTAACTGGCCTGTAATTTCCGGGGTTATCCTTATTCCCTTTCTTGAACAAGGGAATGACGTTTGCCTCTCTCTCCAATCTTCCGGCCCTATACCAGTGGACAGTAAGGACAAAAAGATCATCGCCAAAGGCCCTGCAATCTCTTCCCTCGCTTCCCATAGAATCTTTTGATAAATCCCATGAGGCCTGAGGGACTTATCTATCTTCAACTTCCTCAAAATTCCTAGCACATCTTCCTTACTAACAGCAACCTCCTCTAGCCTACCAGCCTGTTTCACACTGTCCTCCTCTACAGCTAGGCCCCTCTCAGTTATGAATACCAAAGAAAAGTATTCATTAAGGACCTCTCCTATCTCTTTAGGCTCCGTGCACAAATTCCCTTTACAATTCTTGATCAGCCCTACCCTTTCTCTGGTCATTCTCTTATTCCTCATGTACGTGTAAAAAGCCTTGGCATTTTCCTTGATCCTATCTGCCAAGGTTTTCTCATGCCCCCTTATAGCTCTCCTAAGCCCTTTCTTCAGCTCCTTCCTGGATAACTTGAACCTCAAGAGCCTTTTCCGATCCTTGTTTCCTAAACCTTACATAAGGATCCATCTTCCTCCTAACCAGTCATTCGACCTCTCTTGAGAACCAAGGCTCCCTCACTCGATCCCATCTTCCCTGCCTGCTAGGGACAAACATATCGAGCACACGCAGTATGCATTCCTTAAACAATCTCCATATTTCAATAGTGCTCTTCCCTGACAGCATCTGTTCCCATTTTATATTACCCAGTTCTTGCCTAACAGAATTGTAATTACCCTTCCCCCAATTATAAACCTTACCCTTCTGTATGTACCTATCCTTTTCCATGACTATTGTAAAAGTAACAGAGTTATGATCGAAGGAATTCACAGTCAGTGCTGTGATGACTTCTGGTCTGTTCTTTATTTATACTTGCTGCTTTCAGTAATTCATGTGAAGTGTTTGAAGAATACTTAAGGAGCAGTGGATTCTGGTAAATGGACTTTGAATGGTTCACTACCTTCTGAGTGGATTGTAGTGGCTGTTACACTTCCTAATAAGTGCAGCCTTACAAGTCCAAGTGAAGTTGAGATTTAATCTACCTGCAGATTTTGTTCCCGGTCCTACAAGGCATGTGGTAAAATTTGTAGAAAGTATCTTGATTTATGTTTTGCTGTTAGTAGAAAGGAGCACTTGAGCAGCAGCAAGCCTTTATTGAAATAGCATTTGTAAAATGGGAGAGCAATTGCAGTTTCGAGTTGGTGAAATAAGGCTGACCTTATTAAAACATTGATTCTTAGTTTCATTATATTTCCCAATACAATCCATAGTCATTTGTTAAACTCTGATTCTTCTGTGTGTCTGTTATAAATCATTGACTCCTTATTCTGAGACTATGATTCCTAGTTCCACACTCACCACTCAGAGGGAGTATCTTCTCAGCATCTGCTTGTTCAGATCTGAAAGAACAATGGAAGTTTGATGCCAGATGTAGCACAGTCCACCTTCTGATATAGTTTGAAGAAAATAGTAAATAATGAGTATCATCAGTGTAGTTCTGTCCACTGATGCACACCAATGAAACAGAATTACTTTAATTTTCCGTCAGTAAGACTTCTAGATTGGTCTCCCTGTACTTAAAATAGAAGTAGTTGAGTTGGTGAGGTTTTAAAAAGCAAGAAGAAAGTAAATTGTCCAGTGCTTTTGGCAGGCATTTGGAGATAATAAAACATTCAAATATTGAGATGTAAGAAAAGGGGACAGATATGAAGATTCATTGTTTCTTTCAGAAATAGGTGTCACTTATTCAAGGTGATCTGTCCCATTATCTGGTTGTAAGCTCTTCTGCTGTTCTGGTAGTGATCTTAAATATTATTGCTGCAAGGTTTAGTTTAGAATATTGTGTTCAATAGCTATGATTGTATATAATAAATCTTGCATCTATATAGCTTTCTTGGTATGTTACAAGTATTTTAAAGCCAAATAAATACGCTTGAAGCTTGGCCACTGTTGTTACGGTGCAGTTTTTTTATTCAACAACTAATTCCCTAAAAAGCAAATGAAGTGTTAACCAAGGATTCTAAATCTTGATGCTATTTCATGTTTCCAGCGTTCTTTCTGGACTAGATCCCCCACTAAAGGTTTCCATGTATGCTGCATAATCCTGTTACTCCTTTTATTACTGGTCCTTGCAACAACCAGAAGTATGTATACATAACATGGCAGTAATGGCTGAGTCACTTGAAGAAGCGAATTTTACCCCATGTTGCCAGAGACATTCCAACTTTACAAAGAAAGAAAAATAGAGATGCAGACATATGCTATTCGGTGTTCATTGCAGAGAATACATCTATAAAACTTAAATACGCAATTGTACTAACTTGTGGAAGGTTGCAATGACACAGGTAGAGATTTTCAGGTAAGTTTTACTTTATTGACATTTAAATATTTTTGTTCATGTTTGTGACCTCTTGCAGGGACAGTAACACTCTGCTTTGTATTCTACTAATAAATCACTGACATCTGATACATCAGACTGGGAAATGAAATGTGTTTCGGATAATACTTATTTTTTTCACAAAGAACAAAAATAATCTTGCAAATTACTTCATTTTTGAGTATTCCAGAAAATGGAATAATTCACAGATGTATTGACTTCCATAAAATTGGCATTAATACAAAATCCAACAGTCACAGTAAAGTGTGAAATTAGCATTTAGATTTTGTGTATTATTATTGAAAGTGCTACCTGCCAATGTCTTGCCAGCAATGTTTTAGAGCGAGTTGTGTTTCGTCATAAATTCTCTTATTTTGTAACATATACATAGTAATGGTAATTTTTCCAGGCTTTATGACAAAAGATAGCTGGGCTCTTTAATACTCTGATGACCTACTAAATAATAAGCAGTAATAGTAGGTAGCTGTGGAACCAAAGTGCACATTTTACGAACCAAGCAAAGCTTTCTTTTGTAGGCTGAAACTATAATGAGGAATTCTTAAGGTTGTAAGTCGTGTAGTCACCATATGTAAGCATTACTGTAGTGAAAAATGGTTTACCAAGTTGCTATTAGAACAAAATTAGCTAAGAATTATAATTTATGCTTAGTATTATTACAATAAACTTTGCAGTAGTAAAACATGCTAAAATGCTTCCCTGAATATTAACAAACAGAATTGGACATTGGGACTTGTGACAAAAAGCTTAGTCTAAGGGCTGATTTCTAAAGAAAGTTTAAGCAAGAGAAAAGGCAACGAAAATCAGGGATGTACCAGAGACCAGAATTGGAGGGGCACATTAGCCTTGTGATTGGAGATGAGTCCAATGATGGGAAGGGGCAAAGCCATTGAGAGATTTGGAAATTGGATTGAGAATTGGGTAGCATACTGTTGAATCAATTTGTGTTTGAAGCCAAATGAAAGAGTAATCGGGTAGTCAGGTCTAGTGATAAAGGCATGAATAAGGATTTCAGCATCATATAATATAGGTAAAGATGGAGAGGTGAATATTACGGAAATACATGTAGGTGGTCTTGGTGATGCAAAAAATATGGGCTCACAAACTCAGTTCAGTCAACTATGTTGGCGCTGTCACTAATAGTTTGGCTGAGACTCAGAAAATTCATCTTAAAATGTGTGGAATGAACTTCCTGAGAAAGTACTGGATGCGGGCACAGTTCCACTGTTTAAAAGGCACTTAGATAAGTACATGAATAAGAAAGTTTTGGAGACATACGGGCCAGAAGCAGGCAGGTGGGACTCATTTAGTTTAGGATTACGTTTGGCTTGGACTGAAGGTTCTGTTTCTCTACTGTAAGACTCTATGACTCTATAAAAGGCATGGACTTGCATGTTGGAAATTGGCACATGGCAGTTACCAAAGGCTTTGACCTTCTCATTTATTGAGGGAATTTCCGTTTGTACGATGTTGGATGTCATGCGAACAATGAAACAAATCAGAATAAGGGGTTATGTCGGATAAGATGTCAGTGAGATAGAACTTGTCATCATCAGAGTATCTGTTCCACTTAATGTGTTTTCAAATTAGAAATAAAGGGGTGTGTCAAAGAGGTAATGGAGCAGAAAGAGAAACCATTTCAGGTGATTCTTTGATTATGACGTTGAAGGTGAGGTGCTGGAAGCGGTCTGGTTAACTGTCAAAGACTAGATAGTTTGAGAAGGATGAGAGGGATTGTTTACCATTCATAACGTTGGTCCTCAATTTATTCAACACTAATAATTAATAACCTTTACAAATCAAGCTGATGTGTGAATTTATTAAGAACCAGAAATTTGGCATCTTGTAAATAGTGCCTTTCTCACATGCCTTTTCTATCTCCTGATTTATCTTCTGCCCACATCCTGATTACTGTTAGGAGACCTATACACAACTCCCATCAGGGTCTTTCGGTTCCTTTGCAGTTCCTCACCTCTAACCACACAGATTCTACACCTTCCAAACCAAATCATGATGAGATTGAATCATTCATTGTCAATTACCCTCATTATATGATTAAGTCACAGATCATTGCTTTTTCCTTTGTGACAAATTCCCTTTTGGTAAGAATTCTCTACATAAAGCTAGCATTCTGTAAAATGGTCACATTGTAACCGGGTACAGAAGGTTCAAGACTAGCTACATGGCATCATTTAATTTTGATGAGAGTAGATTTATAGCAATGTTTCCAAAAGGCCACTCGTGGTGATCACTGAAAAGCAGTTCGAGACCTCAAGATTGTGGGACAAAGAGAAACAGCTGGTGCAGACTCCATGTTTGCATTACCAATTTTTGAGGGATTGGTAAGCAGCAAAGAGGAAGCTCTGAGAACTGTGAAAAGTGGGAAGGTCCTTGCCTCTGTGTTAGTGAAAGCCATGAGGGACCCTGAAGAATCCTGAGAATTGTTCAGTGCAGCTGAGAGAGTGGAACTGAAAAAGTCATTAAGAAGTGTTTGTTTGATGCAACTAAGAAGTATTAAAGCTCAAGGAAAACCCAGGAGCAGATTTTATTTGGCGAAGTTGGAGTTCTCCTTGAGAGCAGTGCTGGAGTGCAGTTTTCAGAATCCTGGATACAGGACGATAGAAGTAGTTCTTGAAGCAGTCGATGATGGACCAGCTCGAGATGTTTCAAGGCCACATCTGTAAAAGCAAAGAATTGTAAAGTTAAATGAGATTTAATGACCACTACATCATTTACATCCAGGGAAAGTTCCTGAGAAATCAGTAGGATTTATCTGAGGAAGGGTCACCGGACCTGAAACGTTAACTCTGTTTTCTCCTCCTCAGATGCTGCCAGACCTGCTGAGCTTTTCCAGCAACTTTGTTTTTGTTCCTGATTTACAGCATCTGCAGTTCTTTTGATTTTTATTTAGGATTTATCTTGATCACCTTTGTTATTTAATGTGCAATGTGGGGTGTTCGATCACAGTGCCACACGTTAATTCTAAGTGTTAAAAAAATGTACATGTAGATTGTACTATTCTTACTTCAATAGTATAGTAATTTATTGTTACATGTATTTTTGAAAATACAGTAAAATATGTATAAGTTGCCATAATCCAGCACTGTTTTAATTACATAAAATATAAAACAAAAATGCATACAGTTTCTTGATTTCATAAGTAGCTACGGGAAGCACCTTACTTCACAGCAGCCAAAGCTGTCGGTAAGGCTGCAACACCAAGGAGGAAGCATGCCGTAGCAGTCCCAGAACATCGCCTCTGCCAAAGCTGCTTCATCATCGCCAATACTTCAGCCGTTGCCATAGCCAGGAGAGTGTCCCAGGTCTTGAGGACCAGGTCCCATTCTCAACTTCCAAGGACCAACGGACCATGCAAATTAACTCCCAAGGATCAAGGGATCGTTTGCTCCACCACCATTGCAGACCCCACCAAAGGAAAAGAACCAATCCCAATCCGTTAATGCTTGAACAGTTGCTCAAGCCACAACTGCTATGGCTACGAGGAACAGACCGAATCCACTGCTCGACATCTCCCTGCAACTTCTCTCCACCAACCCAGCCACAAACGGAAGAAAATGAACTTGATTAGAATAAAATAAGAAAGGATGCGGTCGGTCATGTGTCAGAGTGGATGGCTGGGAGCCTGAACACCACCTGCCCTGCTGCCTGCACCATCAATAATTGTGTTTACTTAAAACCATGGAAACTTGTGGCTTTACTCTCTTAGTAAGTGCGACGGCGTACACTATTAGGAATCAATAATATTTAAGTTAGACTAAACAAATGGTAACATTTATGCAATTAAAATGCATTTGAGAGAGGCTCACCTTCAAATTATTGTAGCTTGATAACTAGTTTTCTGTTTCAATTGAGAATTTCTCACTTCTGTCTCCAAGATTGGAAAGTGTGCTACTTTATAAACTTAACTAAGCAATTGTCTGTTATGTATTTACAATTTCTTGTTGAATTTCTGATATGTACTCTTGGCAAAATAGAATGCAGATGGAAGCACATTTTTCAGTGCCGTTCCTCTTTCAGCTTTTAATTTTAATTGAAATATTGAAAAATGAGAAAAACCTTAGGAAACGGACTTTGATGCAACAGAGTTTTTGCAGAAATGAATGAAAAAAATGTTTTAAGAAACTTGGAATTTTAATGAAATGAAAGACATCTTGCCAAACTTTTTATCTTACCCTCATCAGTACAATTGTAAGAGTGCCAAATTTTGAACGATTGCACAAATGTATACTGCAAGAGAAAAGATGCTGTTTGATTGGTAATTCAACTTTTTATGGCAGAAGCACAGGTTATGCCAGATCACAGGTTACATGATAATTTAGTGTTTGTGACATGAACCATGCATGAAGAGTTTGGGTACATTTATTGATGTCGTTTCTACAGGAAACTACTGTGGATCAGAGATAGGGCTACAATACTGAAATCCTATGGTCTGTGGGAGGACTATTACTTTAATCTATTCTCATTCTTCGTTCCATTGTCCCTCAAGCAAGGCTTGCACTTTACACTCATTCTAAAATCTTATTCCAGCTTTAAGAGGTTGTATTTTGTAAAACAAAACTGTGTTGATTTTTGGAGGGATAAATATTAGCAAAGTTTTGAAGTTGATCAATTGATATGAATAGATAACTACCGCTGTACAAGACATGAGCAATGTCAGCACAATAATTGTTCATTTGCATAAAAAATGTACACAATAAGGTTAGTGCAACAAGCCACTATTTGCAATGTTGCAGTGATCAGTAAAGTAATGGAAGGTGTCATCAACAGTGCTATCCAGCAGCACCTCAGCAATAACCTACATGGTGACACCCAGTTTGGTTCTGCCAGGGCCATTCAGCTCCTGACTGCATTCCAGCCTTGGTTCAAATGTGGACAAAAAAGCTGGATTCCAAGAGTGAGGTGAGAGTGACAGCCCTTGACATCAAGGCTACATTCAACTGAGTGGCATCAAGGAACCTAACCACAACTGGAATGAATGGATATCAGGGGCAAACTCTCCAGTGGTTAGAGTCATACCTGACGCATAGGATGATGGTTGTGGTTGCTGGAGGTCAGTCGTCTCAGCTCCAGGACATCTCTGCAAGTGTACGTTCAGGGTAGTCCTAGGCCCAACCCTCTTCAACTGCTTCATCAATGACCTTCCCTCCACCATAAGATCAGAAGTGGGGATGTTCACCACTGATGCACAATATTCAGCACCATTCGTAACTTCTCCGATAATGAAGCGGTTCTTGTTCAAATGCAACAAGATCCGGACAATATCCAGTCTTGGGCTGACAAGTGGCAAATAACACAAATGCTAGGCAATTGCCATCCCCAATAAAAGAAAATCTAACCATCGCCCCTTGACATTCAATGGTATTACCATCATTGAATCCCCGTCCTATCAACATCCTGAACGTTATCATTGACGAGAACTCAACTGGACTTGTCACGTAAATACAGAGGCTACAACAGCAGTTCAGAGGCTAGGAATACTGTGGCGAGTAACCCACCTCCTGACTCCCCAAAGCCTGTCCATCATCTACAAGGCACAAATCAGGAGTCTGATGAAATACTCCCCCCTTGCCTGGATGAGTGCAGTTCCAACAACGCTCAAGAAGCCTGACACCATTCAGAACAAAGCAGCCTGCTTGATTGGCACCTCATCCACTCCATCTACCATTGAGGCTCAGTAGCTGCAATGTACGATTTACAAGATGCACTGCAAAAATTCACCAAAGATCCTAAGACAGCCTCTTCCAAATGCATGACCACTTCCACCTAGAAGGACAAGGCAGCAGACACATGGGAACACTGCCACATCCAAGTTCCCGCTGAAGCCACTCACCATCCTGACTTGGAAATATATCACTGTTTCTTGAGTGACGCTGGGTCAAAATCCTGGAATTCACTCTCTAATGGCATTGTGGGTCAACCCACAGCAGGTGGACTGCAGTGGTTCAAGTAGCTCACCACCACCTTCTCAAGGGCTACTAGAGATAGGCAGTAAATTCTGGCCAAACAGTGACACCCACATCCCACAGATAATTTTTAAAAATGAGCCAGATAGTCTCCTATTGTGATGTATCATCAGATATGATTTACTGTTGCAAAGCTAAGATGAAACTCGCACTGTAGTCAGTTGGTTATTAGAAGGCATTTGAACAAGTGTCAGATGTAGTGCTTGTGAAGAAGCTGGCAGCTAACGATAACTACAAGACTATGAAACTATTTTTGTCAAAAGAACAGCAAGGCAAGGTTTACCATTTTCACTTGGCCTGCAGTCTTCAATGATACATTCTAAGACTACCAATTAAAATATACGTTCCAGGTATTTTGAAACAGTTGTATTGCTTCATTTTAGATATGATCTTGTTGCTGTTCTAACCCGCTTTATTTGCCATTTTGAAAAAATATTACCAGTGGGACATGGCAATGGATGATCGGAAGGCATCAAGGTTTTATTTTGTTTATTCATCGGATTCGGGCATCGCTAGAGGCAGATATTGCCCATCCCTAGTTGCTCTTGAGAAAGTGGTGATGAGCTACCTTCTTAAATCACCGCAGTTCAAGTGCTGTAGATAGACCCACAATGCCGTTAAAGGAGGGATTTGCAGGATTTTGACTCAGCTCAAGGGGCCAAATGGCCGTTTTTCTATTCCTAACGGACGTGGTTCAGTATTCTTTACTCAGTGTCTGAATAGGATCAGTTCAAAGGTGATGTAAAGGGAAGTAAAAGCTCTTGGAAGGCTCTTGCTCACATTGACCTGTAGCTCCATTTAGCAGTTGGTGATGAAATTTTGGAAGTCAGTCTCACAACTGGCATTGTTTTTTGCCAAAATCTTTCTCCTCAATATTAAGCAGGTGGAAGCAAGGACACCTAGTAATTTTGTCAGTTGCCTTCGCAGACACATCATAAGTCGCATAAAATCGCAGTGTAATCACACTGATCAAGAAATTGAGATTTACGATGGTAGCTGCTGAAGGCTAGTGTTATTCTTATTAATTCTCTGATGTTTTAAATAATGAAACTTTTAGCCCATTTTTTTATCGAGTGTATTTCTTTCAACTTTCCAAGGTGCTGACAAATGATCTTGTTACTCGATCCATAAACTGTCACGTGGCATTTTATATACACGTGCATAACAATGTAGTACTGTAATTCTTTGATAGGTACATCCTTCTTCTATACTGTGATTAAAATTATGGAATTTACAGTGTAGTTACATAATGATCTACTATTCTGAATAGTGTCAAAATAGATTTGGACAACTCTTTAAAATGACCCATTAACCTGGTGACAATTTTTCTAGCAAAGATTCTCAGTCTGACCTGTCCCAGGTGCATGCATTTGAAGGTAACTGGGAAGAAATACACTCAAGGCAGGGGTGGTATAACCAGCCAAGCACAACCATTTTTTCACAAAGCTTGCTGCTATCTTTCAGGAGTCAAAGGCACTTGGACAGTAACTGAGGAAAGATAAGTGACTGAGTTTGGTGTCAGGTGAGTTCTTAATATAGATTGGGGGGGTGTAGTTGGGGAAGTGGCCAAGAAACGCAAGGCCAGGAGATGGATGTCAACTGGGGTGGGGTTATGTCATTGCCCCGTTGGGTCTAGTCAAGTCACATTGGGTTGAGCTGAGCTGGGTCCTGTCCCTGCCTGGCTCAGCCCAGCA